TTCATCTGCCATACCGTTGAAATTGCAATGGTATCTAAGACTTCGAGATTTAAATGCTTTTTTATATTGAGTTGTTAACAAAATAATTGTCATATTCATTTTAACTATTTCATGCCTTTTTCTATTTCAGGTAATTCTGAACATTTTCTCATAATATTATTTTTATTAACAAAAAATGAATAAATTGCATTTTCAACGCTCGTTCCCTGAAATTCCATATTGATAAATAAATCAATTCAATTGATCTTACATTAATACTCCAGAAATTTGCTTCAAAGAGGCTAAAATATGAATGAATAATAAAGGAAAGGATTGATTGAGAATTTTATGACAAATTTCTTAATTTTTTTTGTATATTATCAACTCATCAATCTTTAAATTGATGATAAATAATACAGATCAAATATTTTCATTTATTTGAATGCTTAATAATAATAACTCAGTATTCTGGAAAAAAGCTTTATTTTGAAAATAAAAAATATAAAGATATAATGATCAAAATATGTTTTGTTTATTGATTGTCTTATCATTTTAACGAAAAAGCATTTGAACCAATAAAAGTTATGGAAGGTTTAATCGCTAAGTTGCTTAATTTATAACATTTGAAGAATGCCTTATCTCCAATTGAATCAACTGATTCTGGGATTTTGATGTCACTCAACAAATCACATTCTTCGAAAGTTGACTCTTCAATAGACGTGATTGAATCAGAAAGTTTCACAGAAACCAAAGACTTGCACTTATAAAAGCAATACTTTCCAATTGAAGTCACAGAATCAGAAATGATTGCCTTTTCCAATGAAGAACACTCAGTGAAAGCGCTTTCGCCAATTGAAGTCACAGAAAAAGGAATATCAATCGTAGATAACAATGTGCATTCAGCAAAAGCTCTATTTCCAATTGAAACCACAGAATCAGGAATTTTTACATGACTTAAAGAAGAACATTTTTCAAAAGTTGACATTTCAATTGATTTAATTGAAGCAGAAATTGTCAAATCAGTCAATTTTGAGCATCTACAAAAAGCGTAAGAACCAATTGAAGTAACAGAAGAAGGAATTCTCAAAAATTTCAATGATGCGCAATCAATGAATGAAGAAGCTCCAATTGTTTCAATGATGTCGTCAGAAAATGTCACTTGTTTCAATGACGAACAACCTTCGAATGAATTGCCACCAATTTCAATTACATTATTTATATTAATGTAATTAATTTTTTTGTTGTTCTTGAAAGAACAATCTGTTTTACGGTAGCCAGAAATTGTTATTAAAATTCGAAGATTTGGCATCCCATTTTTACTAATACTGACGAGTTCTTTGTAAATGTCTTTATAAAGAGGGGATTTCAATTTAACCTCAATTGACACATGCTGACTAAACTTTTTCAAACAAGAAATGAAATCAGATGATTTCAGCTTCTTTTGTTGATACAAAATTTCAGTTGCATCTGAAAGAATAATGATGATATTTGTTGGACTTTCAATCTCTTTCAAATTTTCAAAGGGAAGTTTAGTATCTCTTGTTTTAATGTTGAAATATTGAAGATCATCAGATATATCGAGATTCATCAAATAAAGCAAGAGATCATTGATGTTCAAGATAGTTGAATTATACAACAATTTAAAAGGTGAAATCAAATTTAAATTATTATCTTTAATGACTTTTGAAACAACCAACTGTTGTTTGTTCAATGGCAAATTATTAAAAGAATGAACAGATAAATTCTTACCAAGTTGAATTGGACTTTTTGGTTGTTTTGGACTTTCTGACATTTTTCCAGTTAGTTTTTGAATTTCAGTTTTTAAAGAAAAAATTTCATTTTCATATTTATCAATTGAAATTTGCATGTTCTCAGTTAATTTGATATTGTCATATGCCAAATTATGGTTCTTTTCGTGCATTTTATTTAAATCAATTTCATATAGATTTTGAAGTGTTTTTAATTCTTCTTCTAGTTGTTTATTGTCATGCAGAAGATAATTTATTTGTTCATTTGTTTTATTTTGAATTTTTTTGATAGCTTCTTCTAATCTATTTTTGTCATCTTTTATATTTTCAATTTCAGCTTTGTATTGTTCATTTGATATTTCTATATCTTCTTTCAATCTTTGATTTTCGGCCTTTAAAAATGCAATTTCTTTCTCATTTTGATCGAGAATTAATTTTTTGAAATCTTCCAATCTTTGATTTTCAATTTTGAGATTATTTATTTCTTTTTCCAATTGTGTTTGCATTATTTGTTTGTCATCTTTAAGACGTTGGTTTTCTGCTTTAAGATTTGTTATTTCTTTTCCATTTTCTTCTTGAGAAACAGTTTTATCTTCTTCAATTTGCAGCTTTTGAAGATTCAATTTATTCAATTCTTTTTCTAACTGATCCTTGATTTTTATTTTATCTTTTTCTAATCTCTGGTTTTCAATTGTAAGTCTGTCTATATCAATTTTATTTTGATTTTGTATTGTTCTCAATTTTTGATTGTCATCAATCAACTTTTTCTTTTCATCATTTAAATTATTCAATTCTTTTTCTAACCGATTTATTTCTTCAGAATTTTTTTTATTCTCTTTTTTAAGGTCAATTATTTCTTGCCCAAGATGTTCTTGGTTTTCTTTCATGAGATTATTTAATTGCTTGTTTTCTTCACAAAGTTTTTCTTTTTCTTCTTGGTATTCAATTTTCAATGCATTCAAATCTTCCCTCAATTTATGTCGCTCGACAATCAATTGCTGGTTCCTTTCATTGAGGGCTATCGCCTCCTGGGAACGCCTTACTCTCTCTTCATTTAATTCATTATTTAACATTTCAATTTCACCTTCTAACCGTTTATTTTCAGAGATCGTGTCTTTTTCAATTTTTGCTAATTGGCCGCTTATTGAATCAAGAAAAAGTGACGATGAAACTTTCGGATAAAATCCCATGTGCTCCCTCAAATTAAGGAATGAATCAAGCATGATTTCTGGACTTAATTCAGATTCATCGAGACTTTCAAGAAGAATGAACATATTCAAATTTTGGTCACTTTTTGAATGGTCTATCGTAGTTATAAATTTGTATGCTTTTACTTGGTCGGTCAGGAATCTTTCTTTGTGGTTGAAAATGTTGTAGAGGGAATTTATTGGAACTTTTCTGAGTAAATCTGGGTTTTCATCGATAATTGATTGGAGATGTTTGGCAATGTATTCTTCATGAGGGGTTTTGTCAATTACTGCGTTGTTTTGTGATGCAAAAAGAAGACTGGATACGTGCATTTCATTTTCTTTTCCGAGATCGGAGAGATAATCTGACATAATTCCAAATTCTTGGCTAAGAAGATAGTATTCAAAAAGATTATCGATATTTGTTTCCGGTATTTGTTCATTAGACCAATAATCTAAAAAATTTTGGAAAATGTCCGGCCTGATTGAAGATTCTACTGCATATATTTTCTTTTCATTTAATATAAATGCAATCTTTTCAGGAACTTGCTGTAATAACTTAAGATGTCTTTTAAATTCTACAGAAATTTCATATAATCGATTTTTTAGTGAAAATTGATGATTTACATACATGTTGAGATATTTTTTCAAATCAATTTGTTTTTTTTTTTTTTTTCGTTTTTGAAACTTTTTCAAATAAATGTTTATTGCTTAAAAGATATCTTATTACCCATTGTTTATAAGTAAACTTGGAATTTTCCGGTTTAAGATGAAATTTTAAATATATCTAATACTGAAAATTTCATATGGAAAAAGAAATACCATATATTAGATATTCATTTTCGTTATATCTAATTTTCTTTCTATTAAAATGCAATTATAATTTATATTTAATTGTTTTTTTGAAAATTCAAGTTTATATATATGATCTATTTTGCATTTTTTTGAGATATTAGCAAAATTTAAATGACATAATTTTGAATTGAAAAAAACAATCAACCAAATATATATTGAAAAAATAAAATCAAATTCAAATTATAAAGATTGTAATAGGAATAATTTTATCTTATATTTCCATTCTTAAATTCAAGGATGACCATCGATATTGCTATTTATCAGGCATCAGAAAAATTTGTACAAAATTAAGGGAAGAAATCAAACTGGCCAAAAAACATTTGAATAATTACTATTCTTTTTTTAATTTTTCATACATTTTTGCTTGCTTTTTATATTTCTTTATGATATAGATCGGTTCTTGATTGAAAATTTTTAATCGAAAATCAGAATGTCGTGGAGAAAAAGGTTTTGATGAGCTACCATCTGGTATCGAAATAGACGGCTTCAATTGTAATAAATTTTGACATGGAGTTGATGGTTGAAGCTTTGGCTTTTTTTTTTCATTTCACTTTTATGATATTCTTTCAGAAATTGAAGAAATGAAGGATCTTTTGCGAAAAAGCTATAAGTACTTGCACTCTCCACAATACTTTGTGATAAGCTTGCTTTAACGTTTTCAAGAAAAACAGCAAATGCTGCCTTTAAAGGCAGCAATAAAGTAATCATAAATAACCAATTCTTCATTCAAATCCAAATTCAGTATTTTTTTTTCAAAATTCTTTTCAGCTCATCGTTTTCTAGACAATCTTTTGATAATTCTCGATAATTACATAGCTTAAAATTCTTGTTTGGTATAATTTTATAATTCTCTAATTTAGAAGCAATTAAAGTTTCTTTACATATTTTAACAAAATCGTGTAAAAAACTAATGTAATTTTTGACATCTATATCTTGAATTTCCTCAATTAGTTTGTCAAATATCAATTCATCTGCTTTTCGAAACATATTATTAATGATATTTTCTATACTACATTCTAGATTAATAATAATATTTTGTATTAAAAAAATGGATCCAACAACAAACTTTTTTTTAAATAATAGGCCCTATTAAATAGGGATGACTCAAAAAAAAAAAAAAAAAAAAAAAAAAAATATGATTTTCATTGATAACAATATAGAATCAAAGAATTTTTTTTTAAACAGTCTTCAAAAGAATACTTGAAACAATTTAAAGTAATATTACAGAAAAGGGTGTTTAGCTCAGTGGTAGAGTAGTGTACTAGCCCTACATTGGCCAGGAGTTCGAATCTTCTAACATCCATTTTTTTGAAACCTTTTTTTTAATATGGGAATTCACTATTAGGAGTGACAAAATCTGGTTACATAAATACTATTGAACCTGATCAAAATTTTGAAAATTTCCAAAAGCAAGTTGAAGTGTCACCTTATTCTAATATTGTTGAAACTTTTTTAAATTTGGGAAAAATAAATGAAAAATAAAGAAAAATTCAAATTTTAATTTGAGTAATTTAGATAAGGAAAAAGTTTTTTTTTTTAATTATTATATATTATCAATATCTTTTTCTAATTCTTCTTCCATTGAAATTTCTTTTGGTGGCCTATAAAGTACTGCTATAATTATTAAAATGATTGTCAGAACTACAACAAATAAGATACCACAAATAATTCCAATATATTTTGGCTTTAAACGGAAAGGTTGCCTATTTAATGGGACATATGAATATAATGACTCATTCTCTACCAAGAATCCCATATCTTTAAGATAAGTAGTATCAATATTAAAATAATCACTTTCATATGTAATTATTATTTTTGGCTTTTCAGAAATGCTTGTCCAATTTCCATTAAGATAAAAATTCACATTTTCTAATAATGATACCCTTGGATCAAAATACATAAGAGTAATATTTAAAGTACTTTGACCAAGATTTTGACCTTCAAGAATGAAACGGAAAATACTACCTCTTGCTATCAAATTAAAAATATTTCCATAAGATTTTCGTGCCTTATAGCAGTAATCACCTTTTTTACCACGGTATGTTGATGCAACGCAATATTGATCATCATAGAAATAAATAGAAATATCAGAAATATGTCTATATAAATATAAACGGCCATATTGTTCAACATGGACTTTATCCTGAGATTCTTCATCTATAATAGATTGTGGATCCATTAAAAAAAACGTTGTTCTAATATTTTTTGAATTCTTATCTAATGTGGAGTCATACATAAATAATGAATTAATATTTAAATCATTGTTAACAATATTTAATTTGATATTTTTGATAGTTAAACATGAAACTTTGTCTTTTATGTTCCCTTCAATTGAAATCCTTAAATATTTTTCCGAATTTTTTTGTTGGTTTGCCATTTCAATTGGTCCGATTATTTTCTGGCATAATGCTGAAAATGATTTCGCCTTCTCATCATTAATATTGCTTGTAATTCTGTAAATCGCTTTTATTGTATTCACCGTTAAATTTCTTAAATGATTTAAGCCAAATTTTCGAATTCCAAAAGAATAAAACATATATTGATCAAATTCAATAAATACAACATTTTGGTTTGGTAAATTATTAAAATCAAGTGCTTCAAGTGAATAATCACATATTATAAAGAGATATTCACTATATTTTGAAACTTTCTTTATTATATTATTAATATTTGAACCATCAGAAGATAGCGCATTTTGTAATGGAGCATATAAATTTTTGCAATAACTCTGACTCACTTCATATTCATGTATTATTTTACAGAGTTTATCTTTATCATCATTTAACATTCTTGTAAAATTTTGCATCTGACTCTCATTTTGAGAACTTATAAATATAATTGAATATTGCGGAATTCCAACTGACAAGGAAACTAATAAAAAGACGCAAACCATCTTTATAGCAACTAAACTTTTTGAATTAAACGCCACTTCTAATAAAATCAATTCAAACTCAATTTTGAATTGTTTAAATATTTGAATCAGATTATTTATGAGTTAATTCTTATGAATATTATGCTTGAGCAATTGGTTTTATTTACCACTTTCAAAATGTCGACAATTCCATCAATAAATGAAAGTGGACAGGGAAAATTTTTTAAATTTTTTATTGAAAAATCTTTTAGACAGTAAAATCTAGTGTTTGAAAACAACTTATTGTTAATAATTTGATATATCAGATAAAACAACTTATTTGGTTTTAATATTTTAAAAAAAATATTTCATGTAATACTTAATATATATATAGAAAAAGATCAAATATCAAATTTAGTGTCATTTATAATGTTGAATTAGCATTTCTTTATGAAATATATTTTAATAATAATGAAAATAATAATCTTGTTTTTATTAAAAATAATCTCTGGCAGAATTAATTAGATAATGCGATTTTCTTTTTATTGTTATTATTATAATTGTTATATCCTTAGAAAATGGAAAATAATAAGCTATTTTATTTCCATTTTGATTGATTTTTCCATCTTGAGAGAATTTGTGATTGAATGGTTCAGAATTTTTCAAATAAACTTTCTAATATATTTTTTCCATTTTGCATTCTATGATGAAAAAATTATTATTTTTACTTGATTTTATAATATATAATAATATGGTATAAGCAAATATCGCTTTAGATAATGGTTTAATAGAAAAAAAAAAAAAAAAAAGATGAAATACAAATAGATGTTTATAATCTAGGCGATATAGAAACTCTTATTTGGTAAATCAAATTTTCTGCCACCACCAGGAGAACAATTGCCAACAGATTGTATTCAATTTGGAAAATTTTGAATTCATAGAAAATAAAAATTATCTAGATATAATATTATATCTAGTATTGATATCCAAATAATTTCTTTCATCATCTGCCACTCCGATTATTTTCAATATTTCTTCAGGTTTATTTTATCCTCCATTTGAAGTTACATATGGCGGAATTGTGATTTGTGTTAGTGATTAGCAATAAGAGAAATCATAATATACAATTGAAGTTACTGATGATGGAATTGATACTCTTCTCATATAATTATTATCAAATTTAAAACTAATATTTTTAATTTCCATCAATAAATAATAAACAACATCGAGTTTATTATTTCTCAGAGCAATTTCAATTGAGTTTTCAATTGAAGTTTAAGCTGTTTTTAATTCACTGCCACTCCAAGATTTGTTGATGAAATAAATGAAACAATAAATTCATTGATTAATGATTATATTTGTTCAAAGCAATCAGATAAACTAATGGAATTGTTAAATAATTTAGGTGATGAAGAAACTGTTTTATCTGTATTTAATAAATGCTTTCTTGAACATCATGATATATATCTAAATCTATGTAAAAAAGGAATTCAATTAAATAATCCAATTGCACATCATAAATATGCATTAACATTAATATTTTCACCAAATGTGAATAGATTTTCATTGGATGAAGCACGAAAACATTTGGAAGAATCAATTAAACAAGGGTTTTCATTTTCATATTTTTTACTTGCACGACTTTATCATGAATGTTTTGATGAAAATAGTAAATCAATTGAACTCTTAAAAAAAGGTTCAGAAAAAGGAGATAAATATTCAAAATGCTTGCTTGGCTATTTTATTTAACGAGGAATTGGAATCAAGAAAGAAAATAAAAAAGGAATTCAAATGATACTTCAGAGTAGTGCTGAAGATTATTATTGTAATGCTTTCAATTGAAGACTGGAAAAAAAGCAAAACTTCCAATTGTTTCTAATTCCGAGTTACTTGAAAATTCGATTGATTCAAGTTTATTACACGAATGAAAACAACAACTACATAAAAAGCATAATTGAATAGAAATTGATCGTTACAATAATAAATTATTTAAATAAATTATGAACATCATCAATTAAGAAATCATGCAAGAATTCGAATGCGTTATCTTCTCCACTTCCATTAATTGGATGCAAACAAGGCCAAAATTCCCAATCATCGTCATCATCATTATTCGATTTCACAAAGATTCCTACAAGGACAGATTTTCCAGTAATTTTTCCGCGAGCATCCAAAAACATCAACTCTTTCCTAGTGTTCATATCCACCAGCCTGCATGCTCCGCTGTTCAACGAGCAATTTCGATCAGAAGAGAACACGATAGAGACGCATTTGACACTTTTATCGAGCAAGTGAGGTGAAAAACACAATTTATACATATCGTTTATGAAGCCAACTTCATTATTGTCATATTTACAAACCGCTTCAGATTGACCTATATTATTCAAATTTTCACCATTAGCACCAGATGTGAAAATGAAGACTTTATTGTTGGTGATGTCTGCGTGATACTGAAATGCAATAACAATTTTTGTTTGTGGTGATTCAATTTCATGAAATTTGTATGAATTTTTAATTGAATACTTATTCAATTTTTCAATAAGACAACGATAGTGGAAGGATAAATTGGGAGGACAAATTCCTCTTGAACCACAATCTAAAATGGTTTTGAGTGCAATGCCATCAGGGTTTGAATGGTAAAAATTGAATAGGCTTTCAAAAAGTTCACCAATTTGCTTTTCATTTGGGGTGCTTAGAGAAACTTTTTGCGGATTTATTCCTTGTGGAATTGAAAATGGTGTCAAAGTGAGTTTTTTTATAAGTGTAAATTTGATCGGGAAAATTGAATAGGATATATTAATATTTTTTCTGCTATCTACTAGAATTGATATGTCATTTGTAAATAAAAAGTATTGATCAAGATCGCTCATATCTGCTGGGTATGGCGCATTGGCAATGTTGAGAGAAATTTTCCCAGTATAATTGATTGATTTAACATAAAAGAATGAGGTTTCATTTGAAAAATATGCATCATATATGAAAATATCAGTAGTACCAGATGGTCCATTTTTTGAAGTTTTAAATTGATTTTCAAAAACCCTTTCAAAGACTGTTCCATTTGCATTGACTGATTGAACAAATAAATGAACTTCTTCTCCTTCATTTGACCTTAATGGTGGATCATATGTTAAATACATATAAACTTGTAAACTAACAGTTTCAGTATTTTTAAAATTAAGACTGGACATTGTTGGTAGAATTGAATATTGACAAAAAGATTGGAAATTATTTGATGAATTATTCAAATCAATTCGAAAGGTTTGTTGGCTATTTTGATTTAAATTTTCTGGATTGAGAAAAATTTGTCCCTTTCCGATATAATCTTCCCCAATTATTTTTTTATTCCAAAATTCAATAACTAACGAATCAAAGCAATAAAATGGAATATAAAATTCATCATCCCATTCAGGATCATTTGTTTTCTTCTTCTTTTTCGATTTATATAATGAAGT